GTGTCTATTTTTCCAAATTAAACAACAAAAAACGGGTCTCAGCTATGATGGGAGGCACCTCGCAGACTTCATAAATGACTCCTTAACTGGCTGAACCCTAAGACTAGACAAAACACAGGAGAGAAGAGGTAAGCACCAAACTACTCAAGCACACTTACTTCCCCCATTCAATGCTAAGAATAGAGGGCCAATAGTCTTGGCTCTGCCACCAACTTGCAGTATGACCCTAGACAAGTCTTTTCCCCTCTGTGGGACTCAGTTTCCTCATCCATAAAATGGGCTCCTGGACAGGTTCGTAAAGTGGCTCAGGGCCCAGGCTCTACAGACAGCCCTGGGTCCCACCAGCTTCACCACTTCCTTGAATATGGTCTAGAAGAATTCACCACTCTGGAGTGTTTACAGAGTGTCTGCTGCATGCCAACTTCATAATAAATATGTTGGCGTGCTCATCTCAGTCCCATCTAATCCTCACAACATGCTAAGAGGCAGGTACCATTGTGCTCTCCACTTTACAGACAAGGAGAGATGGAAAAAGATTGCCCACGGTCACTCAGCTGAGAAGAGGCCAAGCCAGGATCTGAGCCCAATAAGTCTGATCCAAAGGCTTTGCACACTCCCTCGCACATAGAAGGCCCTTCCTAAATATTTGTTGACCATGTGCTGGCTTGCCTGGCGATTTGCATCCCCTGTGGGTCAATCTTATTTCCTCCAGGACTCACCTTCAGCCCAGTACAAATGTTGACAGACAGCCAAGATGGGCAAATGCAAATGAGTCATGCTGGAAGGGTACAAAAGTCTTCCCCACCGACCCATGGTCTCCCCCTAAGATGCCTGGAAACCCCTGTTGGAACTTCATTCCTGTGGAGCAAATCTCCATTGAAACAGGTTGTGGTTGGTGTCCAGTACCCCCCAACTGCACCACTTAATACTGTGTGGCTGTGGGGAAATCATCCTCCCTCTCTGACCCAGTTTCCTCACCTGTGAAATGAGAATAATATTAACTGTGTCATTGAGGTCACTGTGAGGATTAAATGAAAGGAAATACTTGTATATAAAATGCTCACTATAGTGCTGGGCCTGTGCCACCACTAGACATCTCCGGGCACTGAGTGCTGGGCCGATAGTAAGGACGACGTAAATGGTGGCTATTGTTGGTATCATTATCTGTAAAATAAGATAACTATGTCACAGGGCTGAGGAAGGAACCAATGAAATGGCATGGGTGAGGGGCTCAGCACAGCACCTGGCATGCAGTAGATGCTCAGTAAACGCCAGGTCAGAACCCCAAAGGGAGGCCACTGAAAGGAGTTCCCTTATAGATATTAGATACTCAATAAATGAAATGATCAGTTCTACCCTGAGCCAGCCCTGTCCCTCAGGCATCCAGGACGTGGTGAAGGGAGGACAGGTGTGGGAAGAAGCCTGGACCAGAAATCAGATTTTAATCCCGACTACTGTTCAGTTCCCCATCCTGTGACTGTACAACCTTAAGCAAGTCAGCTAACCTCTCTGGACTGCCGTTTCCTCATCTATAAACTGACGGTTTGGGCAGGCCTGTCAGGTGCCTCTTGGTCTCAGCAGATTCTATGACTCAGAGACCAGCACTTGGCTCCAGAGGAAATTCACCACCCACCTTTCCATAGACAATATGGAGCACGCACTATATGCCAGTAATTGGGCAGGGCCATTTTTCATCTTCCCAACAGCATTATGAGGGAGGCAGATGGGCAGACAGAGGCAAAGAGGCCTGGCAGGTCTCCCCTCAGCACTCTCTACTCCCCAGGCCAGCCCAGCCAGATGGAAATTTGGCCAACTCCGAGGATGCTCTCCCTCCCCGACCAAAAAGCAAACCTTCCTGGCCAGAGACCCAGCCCAAACCTTGATTTCACTGGGCAGAAAAGGATTTCAGGAACCAGGCTCTTGATCCCTTCTCCTGTGCGTGTACGTGCACGCGTGTGTACACACACACACTCACACAGATGGGGAAATAGAGGCCCACAGAGGACAAGAGGCTGTCCAGGCACTCGCTGTACAGCCTCTCTGTGCAAATACCACTCTCAAAAAATGGCTGTAAAGTAAATCTCTAGATCCCCCAGCTCCCCGCCTCCACATCCCCATCCTAACACACACACACACACACACACACACACACACACACACACACACACACACAAAGGAAATCGCGTCCTGAGATTCAGCAGCCACCAGACCCCCGCCCCCTCTCTGCTCCTCTTTGTGTGGGGCAGAGGGGGAGGGGACTGCCTGAATCAACTTCGGATTTAATGCAGGGGAAAGGAAAAGGAGAAGGGGCCTCCCGGCCAGGGTCTAGCTGAAGCTCCTCCCCTATGCTGGCTGCAGTCCCAAAACAGAGGTCTGGCTGTCCCCCAGGTCCCTGAGTCCTGGCGACCAGGTACTCCCCCACACACACACACACACACTCCAACGTCTCTCCATTCCCGGGTCTTCCAACCCAGAGTTGGGCCGGGGTGGTGACGGCAACCAGCATGGACCTCATTCAAGGGCGTCTTAGAAAGGCAGACAGGGGTTCCTCTCTACTCCCCATTTTGGCCCTGGAGCCCAGAGGGGAAGGGTCTGGGGCTCCTTGGAGAAGTGCCCAGGAGTTAGCCTGAGCCAGACTTGAATGAAGCAGACAAGGACGCAGTGAGATGGACTGGACGCGCCGACAGACAGACAAACAACGAACTGTAGAGACAGATAATGACATATAGCGAAGCTACCCACGGACAAAGGCTGCAGGAAAAACGAACGGACAGAGACAGATATCAGACAAATATAAATGGACAAACTGAGGCAGACGGTCTGGAACAGACAGATCGACAGAGGAACAGAGAGGGACCCACGGCAGAGGGGCAGGGACCCGACAGGCCACACACAGAGTCAGAGCGTCCCGGAGGGAAACAAGAGAAAGGTGCATCGCGAGGACGGCTCCAAGTTGGGCGAGGTAGGGCCGTAGCGCCCACCCACACCCCGGGCTCTGGGCTTCAGTCTCCCCAATTCCCGGAAGGGGAGTCCGTTGAGGGCACTCCCCTCCCCCGCCCCGGCGCGCCCCAGCCCTTCCCCCGCGGTAACCCGAGCCCCGGACAGCAACTGTCCCCGGCGCCCGCGGGCCCTGGCTTGGGGTGGGGGGTTCCGAGTGACAGGGAGACCAAGGGGCGAGGAAGTGGGGTGCGGGCCCAGAAAGACAAGTTTGGAGGAAGGAAAAAGAAGAAACTGGAGGAAGAAGACAGGACAAAAGTGAGCAGGCGGCGCGCGGCGGGCGCCGGGGTGGGGACTCACGCAGCTGAGCAGGGAGCAGGCGCCCAGGCAAGCGCCCATGGTGGCAGCGACGCAGGTGCGGGCGTGGGGCGCTGGGCGCGGTAGAGGGGCGCGGGCCGAGGGATCCTGTCGGGCTACGGGCGCCCGGGCCTGGCCCCGCCTTAGGGCCCGCTGGCCCGCCCCGGCCCCGCCCCACCTGCCAAAGCCGCTGCCTGCTTTCCGGAGACGCTCGGGGCCTCCCGGGGCTCACCTGGAGCAGGTGCGCCTGGCGGGACCCGTAGGGAAAGTGGGTGGAGCCAGGGTTCCTTCAGTTTTGCGAGCCGCGCAACCGGACTTGACTCTGACCGGGGGTCGTGGCCTGGTCCCAAGTTAGGATTTGGAAATAAAAAGACCTAACTAAGTTCAAGACCCGACGAGGCCACAGTGTGAATTCACAACACTGTTTCCCCTGCACTGGTCAGAAGCCAAGAGGTGGTCATCACTGACTCCCCGAAGCTTGGCCCAATACACAGGTGTTGAAGGATGAAGGATGGGATAAAGAAACAGACAAGTCACTTCACCTCTCTGAGTCTCAGTTTCCCCATCTGTAAAGTAAGGATACCTACTTCATATGGCTGTTACAACACATAGTAGATGTCTGACAAATGTGAGCTCCCTGTCGTCCTTGTTTCATCTAAGGCCCCAGCCTCCCACTCTTTCAGCTGCCCTCCCCTCCATCCACCTGTTCCTCAAGCGCCACTGACTCGGGTCTTGAGCTACACACTCCCCAGAGCCACCTTGTTGGGTGGTTCATCCCTCATTCCTGGCAGACCGTCCAGTCCCACAGGAGTAGATGGGAGACACCCAGAAGTGGGCTCTGTGATTACTGAAGGCTCACCCTCTCTTCCTTCAACCCTAGACAGAACAATGTTAGGGAAAGAAATCTAGCTGCCTCACAGCGGGCCCCTGGGCTAAAGATCCAGCCTGACTGCATCCTTCAGTGATTCATAGGGTTCCAGGCTTAGCCATTAATGGTGCCAGGACTGTTCCACAAACTCTCCCTACACTTTCCCTCTTCCATGCTTTTGCCCACACAATGTCCTCCCCTTTGAAAGTCCTTTTTTTCCTTATCCCCCTTTCTGCCCTTTGAAGCCTTGCTCACATCCCATATTTTCCCGGTGAAGAGAACCACCACCATCACCACCCCCAAACCTCTACCTGGCCCCAGAGGGAATGAATGTCCTCCAATCTCCCTGTGTTTCTACAACATGAGCCTCATGATGGCCTCACAAATAACGCAAGTTACCACAAAGCTTGAGCGTGTACCGAATTCTTTCACCTACATGGTCCCATTCAAGCCCCACAATAACCCTAGAAGTAGATTCATTCCCTACTTCACCCCAATTTACAGATGAGGAAACCGAGGCTCAAAGAAGTAAAGTTGTAGGCCTATATGTAAACTTAGCACTGAATAAACATTGGCTGTGATCATTGGCTGTGGTTGTTATTGTTGCTCAAGGCCACATAGATCAGAAGGGCAGAGCTAGAAGACCACCCAATCTGACCTTGATCGCAAACCCAAGGCCTGTCCCTGACATCTCACTGCCTCTCTTGAAAAGCAGAGTTGACAATATCCAGTCTACCTCTTTTTCTGTCCAATAATATGTGCAGTCCTTCCCTAGTCCGAGGCCCTTAGGAGACTTAGAGCCACCCAGGGACTGTCTGATTCACCTCTGACTGTCCCCTCCCCTGCCTTGAACACAGCACAGGACCTGACATGAGGCAGTAAATGTTTGCTGAATGAATATCTGAATTTTTATCACAAGCCCAGTTTCCTCATTCTGTTGCGACTGATCCAAAAACAGCCAGTACCCAGTCCCCTTCCACCCAGCAGTCCTCTGTGCCTAGAATGCCACCAAGCAGTCTAAAGTAAACCGTTCTCACAGCCTCCTGCCCCAGGGTCAGCTCCTTTTGACACTTCTGCCCCAGGGGCCCAATTTTTCATCCTTCAACCCATCCCTTTCCCATGAGCTGGTCCAGTAGAAAGTGCCCAAGACCAAGCAGAGCAACACCTGAGACTCTTGATCTGTCACAGCCTCTCATACCCTTTACCGTCCTGGGGGCCACTTCACCTCTCTGTACCTCCATCCTCTCCCCTGAAATAGGGGTGGTTATTCTGCTTAATCTCACAGAGCAGCTGAGAAAGCATTCTAAGAAATAGGCAGTTATCTGAAAGAAATGAGGGATTAATTGTACTGCAAGTGTAAAGAGACAGCCTCCTCTGGTTTTAGATTGAAATTTTCCAGAGTAAGGTGATGTGCTTCCATTGTCTTGGCCTCACCCCACCCAAGACTGAGATGAGCTGGGCTCTCACATCCCCTGATGTTACTCTACACGGAGGGGCCAGCTCCACTCTGCAGATACTCACTGTGTGGCCTTGTCCCAGTGACTCACCCTCTTTCAGCCTCATGCTTCTCATCTGTAAAATGCCGATAATCATTTTCTCTGGCTATCTCAGGGGACTACCAAGGAGATGAAATGAGGTGGTAGAGAAAGAAGCTTCATTTCTCTGTGTCCTGACCAACCCACTAGCCTTTCTCACAGCCACAAGCCTCCTACATTGGGCCAAAATCACTGTCTCTCACACCTCCAAAGGCAAGATCACAGCCAGTAGCTGTGTTTTCTTGGCAAGTCACCCAACCTCTCTGAGCCTTACTGAGGGCTGGGATTCAGGACCAGCACAGCTCTTCCAACCATGCATTGCCATGTAAACTATGTCCATTGAGAGAAACATGTAGGGGTCAATTAGTTCATCCCCCTGTGCCTATCACCAGCCCAGACAGATGCTCAGCTCTCCAGGTCCCAAATGAAGCAGGTTCTAGCTTCTTGGGCCTTTCACTCCAAGAGTTCCCTAATCTGCTCTCATTGGGCCCTAGTTTTCAAATCTGCAATATAGGAACAATCCCCCGCTCAAGCCCCCAGTTGCCACCAATACTCCCAATCCATTCTTGCCCCCATCACTTCTCACCATCCTCCTGTCCATGAGGACTCCGATGCACTCTGGCTTTGAGCCTCCTGTCCCCTGGGCCTCACTCTCTGCACTGGTCTTCACTTCCTGCTTTTGAGGCATTTACAGAGCAGGGCTGAAATTATCCCTTATGAATATGTATGTGGGATAATGAGGGTTTGGAAGTAGGGGAGCAACTAAGAGAGGCATTCACATAGGCACCCTCCACCTGCTCTCCCCTTACACAGCCCCCCACCAAGGCTGCCCTCCCTCCCAAAGGGTGCATGGGAGTTTGGGACAAAGGCTGAAGAAGCAATAATAATAATATCCGCAGCAACCATTTTTAAGTGCTTACAACATGCCAGGTACCCTGCTAAGAGCATCTTCTGTAAGACGCTTTTAAAGTGGGAACTATTTTCCTCGTTTAACAGGTAAGAAAATTGATGCTCCGTGAAGTTAAGTAACTCATACATAATTCACAGGTAGAACGTGCACAGTGACTATGTGCTGAGCGAGGATGAAACCCAGGGTTTGTCGGACGCCAGAGCTGGTACTCTGAACCCCTGCCACCCAGATGTGCAGGGCCCAGCGAGAAGCTCTGAGCACATCGTCATGGGGTCACACCTGGAGCTCACACGCCAGCAGATGAGCTCACAGTGGTTTTAGGTGACCAAGGCTTTGGGAAAGGACTCGGGTCCTGGAACTAACTCTGTCTGGAGAGGATGGAGACAGGCAGACATGTGTGTGCACATAGTGCATGTTCGCACATGTGCAGAAACACACCTGTGTGAGCACAGATACATGCCAAGTATGTGTGTGTATGGATGTAAGCATGTGTGATGGAGGTGGTCCTGAGGCTGCCTGGTGTATGCACCGTTCTGCCCCCTTTGTTCCTTTTGCAACCAACATTTAGAGAGGACGCGCTGTGTGCCAGGTGCTGGGGATATGGTGTGAAAAAAGCCAACACAGTCCCTGCCATTCTGGAGGGACAGTCTGGTGGGCTTTGTACCCATATGCAGTAACACTCTGGAAGGAACCTTAGTGGGAGGTTTTTGTGTGTGTGTAGGGGGTGGGGGGCGGTGTGCCTAGGGGGTGAGAGAGAAGACTGTGGTGAAAGTGGAAAAGGTGGGACATGTGGGGTGGGGAGCTGCACGGGGGCCCCTGACACTTGCCATAAATGAGGGGTGCGAAGTAAGCCAAGACCTGGCACGCGTTCCACAGGGGCCTGAGGAGTCTAAAAGGACTCTGGGTGCTTCCCTCACACACGTCAAGGGTCTGCCATGAAGGCACAAGTGTGCACTGTGTGTGTGTGTGTGTGTGTGTGTGTGTCTGTGTGTGAAAGATGTTAGTTTGTTAAATTAAAACATGTAAAACATTCCACAGTTGTAATATTTCTTCAATTTTAACTTACTGGGAGCCTCAAAAACTAGAACTGGCTTAGGCCTCTGTTGGCCTATGAAAGTCCCTGCTATGTGGGGTGTGCATGTGGGTTTGCACATACATGCATGTGTAGGAATGTGAGCACCCGTGGATGGGTGAGGCTGACACCCATTGAAAGCCCACCCCAGGTGTTAGTCCTCCTCCAAGCCCCCATGAGGCCGACACTGTTCCTGGAGTGAGAGGATGTCTTAGGACTGAGGAGGAGCAGCTACCAGCCCCAGGGCAGCCTTGTGGACCAAGAACTCTGTCATTTAAGGCTTGGACACGCTCAGGCCAAGCGGCGTCCCCAGGCCAGCAGCAGGATGTGGGCGGCTGAAACTGGGGTATTTCCCGGAGGAGTTTGGGGCAAAGGCAGGGTTTCCAGAGCCCTCCTGGTGCCCTGCAGGCCCATCCCTTCCTCTCCATCCATGCATTACCTCCTGCCTGGCCCTTCCTTCTCCCCTGCCCAATGGCTGTAGGCCCAAGCTTTCAGCAACCCCTCATTGTAAAAATGGGGAAACTGAAGCCTGGAGAGACTGGAGCTGCCAAAGCCACACAGCAAGTCAGCAGCAGAGTCAGAACTGAAATCCAACCCAGGCTCTATGCTCTCCCCCCACTGCCTGCCACCTCTGCATCTCCCTCCTTCAGTCACTTCAGGAGGCAGTCCAAGCCCAGCAGACCCAGCAGTTAAAGCCCCAGAGTGCCTTCCTGCCTGTGCGGGTCACAAACAGGATCCAGGAGGCCATGTGGGCACCAGAAACAGTGCATGGC